TTCTTCGAAAAATTTGGTACAGAAAGTTTTTAATGGTATGATCATTTCTGGTTCAGCCAATTATGGCACCATTTATTTAATTATAATGTTTTTAGAGCGTTATTTGGCCATTTTGCACAGAATTATTTTGGTTCAAATTCATATTTTTAAATTTTAAAGAAAATTTAAATAAAACTACGGAAACTTTTATTATTCTAAAATATTTTACATTTGTCTGTCAGTGAATGTATTAGTGTAGTTTTTCAAAAATGTACCCAAAAATAAACGGTAGTAGAAAAAGTATAGAATGCAACACGTTTGATAATTCGTGACTCATATGCCGTTTACCACTTTTGTTGCGTAATATAATATAAACCAAAAATTTTTTTTTCATTTTTAATAGACTAATTTTAAATTTTCTCACAAAGTGGTACTTAACTTGACCATTAGTATACTGATTTGTGATAATCAGATCAATAAACTGCCTGACGAGATCAGTACCTACGTATTGCTGATGTTGGATTACAATAAATTTATTTGGATTGTTTGAATGTGTAATAATAATAATAATACAATGGCTTTAGTCCGCTAAATTGTGTTATTGCCAATACACCACAATCTTTTGGGTGGGTACCGGATACCATGGACGCAACTTACCCTTTTTTTACAACCACCGCATAAAAATGAATTAGTATCAGATATTTTACGTTGTTTCTACTACAAACTATCCGATTGAAAAGTATGAATTGTAAGGGCAGCATTTTTCAACGGGAGATATTACCGTTATTTTTTTTAAATGCACTATTAATTTTTATTCACTTTTTACGTTTACAACGCTCCCGAAATTAAATGGCGATCTCATTTCACTTTTAATCTAATTCGCAAAAATAAATCCGCGCTCAAGTTTTAAGATTTAAGACAGATCGAAATAAATTTCGCAATAACTCTAACAACAATCACTGTTGCATTTGAAAGAACGGTTCGGCTAAGCGAACATAGCTTTCCAAGTCATTAATCAAAAATAAGCCCTAGGCAATTCACCAAAACCTAAACTTGTAACGAGAGATCTTGAGAAATTGTTTTCATCAGCAACAAAAGTTTATCATGTAAATATTTAATAATTACTAACAAAGTTTTCGCTGACTGACGTATTGTGAAACAAGCAACAAATTTATGGGTTATGGTAAAGCAAAATAACATGCTTTTACAACACAGCGTCACAGTCCTTTTTAAGAAAGTTTCACCACCGCGGTAAAGAGAATAAGAAGCTTTATGTGGGTCACTCAAAGAAAAACGACCTTTGTTGCGAAACTAGTATCAATTGCATGCCAGTCGTTTCACTAACGTTCGCTGAATATTATTGTTGTGGCTGCGCGAGGAGTGTTTTAAGATTACTATTATTCTATCACAATATTCGTATGTAGAAGAGTTGGAAATATTTTCTTACACTTCGCCTACTTTTCTGTGTGTCTTGAAAAAGCATAAACTCCTTTAAGCTCTAGAAGGTTTGCTTTGTGAAGAAGTCTCTGACTACGCTTTGAACGTGTTTATTGGGAGGGCTTTAGTTTATTACAAAAATGGATGAGCCTTATCTACTCATATTAAGACGAGCTTATTCGTATTAAGTGTTTTGTAAGGCCGAACCTCACCGACTTGTAAGAAATGTGTTCGACTTTTTTAAGCGTACACCAGATATTTAAGTACGTAAGCGCTCGGCAATGTAATAATATTAAGAAAATTTTATTCTAACATCCTCTCTATAGTTCAGATTTGTAATGATTCTAATTAAATTACGTTGCAGTGGTGGAAAAAAGTATGAAAACTTTTAATCATTATATTATTAATGCTTGAAGTAACCTGGAACTTTTTTAAATTCCATATATTAAGAAAATGTGTGATAGGGAGAAAATATGGAAACTTTTATAATATATCGTGTTCCAAATTACTCAGTCTAGATTCTACAGTACAAATAACATGTAAAAACATTTATCATACCCAGTCGCCGTTATTAATCTTCTGATTTCAGACAAAATATTGTGAATTTATTTATATTTTGAAGGAAGGACTCGTAGGATTAATAAAACTATAATAATAACATCGAAACTGTAGCCCCGAAACAGTTTGGCATTGAAGTAACCTGTAGAACGGTAAGAAACCGATTATATCTTGACAGAGTTGCTGTTAAAAAATCGGTTCTCTCAAAGAAAAATAGAAAGGAATTTGGCAGAGCTCATCTGTCTCGGTCAAAATGAAATACGGTTCTTTGGAGTGATGCAAGAAAATTTTCTCTGTTTGAATCTGATGGTAGACAATTAAGAAGACCGGTTGACACAAGATTCAAGACCAAGTACCAAATTCCTACAGGATCAGTCATTCAAGTATAGGGTAAAATGGAACGATTTCAATACAAAGGTCGGTGATCAAATGTATGCATCTAACTTACTGAAAGAATAGTTTAGAGAAAAAAACATAATTGTACTTGAATGGCTATCCCAATCGTCAGATCTAAACCCCAATAAACATATTTAGGATGTCTTGACTCATCGTATTCGAATGCATTACAATGTTAAAAATCTACAGAAAGTATTTAGTATCATTGAATAAGAGCGGTTGATTGATTGATTCTATGCCTACAAAATCCTAGGCCGTCTTAGATGCTCGAGGATATGCTAAAAAAATAATAAATCATATTTATGTAAAATACTTTAGAATAATAAAAGTTTCCATGCTTTTATTTGAAATTTCTTTAAAATTTAAAAATATGAATCTGAACGAAAATAATTCTGTGCAAAATGGCCAAATGAAGTTCTAAAAATTTTATAATTATATAAATGGCGCCATAATTGGCTGAAAGTTTCTATATCTTTTTCCACCACAGTGACCGTAAGGCTATGTATTAAAAAAATATTTTTTTAGATTTTTTTCTTACCTGCTTTGTATGTGGACACCAATTTAGTTGAAGGTCTTAAAGTATTTCCTAAAACACGTTTTGTAAACTTCTCGTTCCGCTCGTCTCCAAAACAAACTTGTCACTAAAGTGGCGTTTGTCAAACTTGTTGCATAATATACATACATACATAATATAAAGACACTATATTACTACGTAATATAGTTAGAATACTAAAGTTAATGTTTACCCAGACAAGACTAAAGCTTACGTCAACGAAACTTTTGCATTTAAGATTTTTTTGTAAAATACTATAATTGCAACAAGTGCAGTAAACGGCATTTGAGTGTTTAATAAACGAGCGATTTAAAAGGTTTACCAACCGTGTTGCATACTATACTTTTTCTATAACCGTTCGTTTTTGGGTACATTTTTGCATAACAACACGAATACATTCACTCCGAAAATACCCGATTGCTCCTAACTCTGTGCGGTAATACCCCGGAAATGTCCGAAGGGGCTCGGATCCGTGAGACAAAAAGCTCATGTGGTAACCTGACTCTTTCTGCACGCTAGATCGGTGTATAATTAGGTACATTACAGAAGGGAGTAGAAAAAGCTATCAGTTCTCAGATTGCATAGTGTGTCATCTTGGATGACTGAGCAAGTTTTTTAGTGAGGCAAATTTGATTTAGAGAAAAACGGATAGTTTTAGGTACTCTTTTCTTTGTCATACACATTCATACTAATGGCAAAACAAAGAAATATTTAATACATATATTTTACACATACATACTGCTCTTTTCTGACGCATTTGTTTAAAACGTTAGAAAAGAAAATTATTAAAAGAAATTAAGTGTACCAATTTGTGTGCTTTTTTCCGCAACAAGTTTTAATACTATCACTATTGTTTTTTGTATAAATATGTAAGGCAAATATTGTTTGATCATCAAATAACATATGTAAATGATTTCTTGCAATGCAGAACCGAATATTGCAATATTTAAATAAAGCTATTATTAAATCGACGAAGTTATTTTTGCAGCTGCTTGAACTCAAAATCACTTTTAAGCCCGCATGTATTCAAATTTCGAATGTTTAATATTTAGCATTATCGTAAACCAAATTTGTGTATTTTGGTTTTATTAATAGCCGAGACTGGCGCGAAAAGTTGTCGCAAATATATTAATAAATTATTGGCTCTGTGGCGCGTGGCCTCGGCAGTTTTTGTCGTGTCTGGCAATTAGACGAATGATTTATGAGTTTATGTCTCAGACGTGGACCAGTAAAACGTCTCATCTGGATACTTTTAACCGAGCAATTTTTGATAAAATTTTGCAAACGACGAAGCCACACAATCCGCAACCTGAATTGTGTGCGCCAAGTGGTGAAAATGACAATGAAAATTTAGAATTTTTACCTATTAAGTATTTATTTTCAATATTTGGGAATTACAATTATTGCACATCTACTATGTAACCACGAATTTAAATGTTATCCACAGTTTTCTTTACCAATTTTCAAATTTCGCATCCTATGGGAAACACTTTTATGAATTATCTTCTGATATTAATTTAAACAAAGAAATACTATTCGCTTTTTCTGTGAATTTAAAATTTGACCGTTATTTTTACCAAAATTGCTAATAACTGTTTGTTGCTTTATCTACGGCTCCAACAAAGTTATTTATCCAGTTTATTTTTTAATCTTAACAGAGCACTGTTGGCTCATAGTTTTGTCAGGGCATAAAATAGCAATAGTGTTAGACAGAAGGGTATATAAAAGTTGTAGGTTTTTATTAGATCTTTCAGAAGAATAATAATATATATGGTGTACCATTTAAGAAAATATATTCGTTTATTTTGAACACTCTATAGCATCTAATTCAATTCCGTTGCATATATATCAATTATTAATAAAAAAGTTGAAGAAATGTTGTTGAATTGAAAACGCAATTTAAAAATAGGGTACGCCATTTTTATTATTTTTTTAAATTATCGTTGACTCAATTTAATTAAACCTTTTTTTCTCATTATGCGTTCCAAATAATAATTTAAAATAGAATTAATCTTTAATTCATAAAAAATGTTTAAAAAAGGGAAATGCGAAATGTTAGTTAGTATAGTTAACTCACCAGCTTCGAAATTTTCTTTGAGCCTTCTCCACTGCTTAGCTTGGTACAACGAATACATCGTGACAACGAGAAAAAACATGATGCACGCGAACACTGCTGATGTCAACGCGATCGCCTGCCAATCCCACACGAGCTTCTCCGCTCTAGAAAATGGCGCCTCTGAGCTGGAAACTTCCATCGCTTCGGGTACTTCCAAGCGTGAAGATCCATCCTCATCCACATCTTCACCATACCTTAAGTGGATCACAACAACGAATGATAAGTTTAACAATCATAAGCTAGACCCGATTATGATGCAACATTATCATAAACAATGCGCCTTTTAGCCATTTTTAACTCGTGTTAATCGTTTGCAAGGTAAACGGAAACACAAGAATCGTTCTATCGAATTTGATTAGTTGGTTAGAAAAATAGTTTAACTTTTAAAATAGCGTAATCTCTCATCAAATTTTGGGCACCTTGATTGGGATAAATCAATTGCAAAATTGTTAATTGCCAGTCCATAGCTTCCGTCTATAGCATAATGGTTAATCGACAGTTAAAAATAATAAAAATAATAATATTACAACATTCAAAATTTACTCCAGATGAGAAAATCCAAAGGCTTTACATCATGTAAGAGGTCAGTTCCAAAGTCGATTGATTTACTGGGATCATTGGAAAATAACATTTCATTTGAATGTTCAAACTGTATTTTATATTTTTATAAAATAACATTTCATAATATATATAAAACATAAGTTTTATCAATGTAGAAGGTATTAAATAATAGCATATCCATGTTACAATTCATAAACTGGTCATGCATGTTTCATTATTCCTTTGTATTACGCATTGTATAATTCCCTCAAGAATATGGAGTATATTGTTCTGATATTGAAATGGCTATACACTTTTTAAGATTAGTTTCAACTCCATATATTTTTACCGTTTCGAAAAAACAAATAAAACGAACTTTTCCAGTTGATTTTAATTAAATTAAAATTTAAAAGAAACGGATTCTAGAAAAATGCAACGAAAAGCATATAATGGTATTTTCAGTAGCACAATGATTCTTTTTTTAAATGCTGATTTTAGCTATTTTATGGTAAAAAATAAGTCTGAAAATTTTAGCTAGTACATGTTATATATATTTTAACCAGGTGGGAACTACAGATTGCCGTCGTTGCCAATTTTTTAAAAAAGTTCTACTATTTTTAAATTGAAAAATAACAAGTGTTCGATCTAAATTTTGATGGCCAATTTAGAAACATCTAAGAATAACTGCTGCAAACGTCAACAGGAAAATGCCTCAATTTTAAAACCCGCAATTTCAATAAGATATCTTTAACTTGTGAGCATTGAGATAACGTTCTAAATCGACCGTCTGCATCTCATACTGAAAGAGTAATTTCTAAAATTTTAAAGATTTTTTCAATGCAAAGTCTCGTATGCAGATAGCAGACGACGCTTTTATTCTAGGTGCTCCCCAAATTTGATTTAATTTAATAAAATTGTTGATCTGGGTGAATATTTCGAAGCGTGGTTTCAGTTTAGCCGCGACAGTACTTACCTCCATTCGACAACTCCTTTGGTTTTCTGTTTGTCGGATCTGAATTTCTCATGTCGATGCCTATGATTACTATTACTACTATCTAACAGGTCACTAATAGCACTTAGAGGACCGCAATGGGTGTCTCTGTGCAACTCGCAGGGCCTTAACACAACAGAACCGTCCTTGCAGTCCGTACAGTTCATGCATATTTGTAGTTTAGAATTGAGGTACTGCTTTTCCGGGCAAATCGCGGCATGACACACAGCAACGAACACGGACAGAAGAGCCAGAGGTAGACAGGCATTTACCACACCCTGAAAAAGAAAACAAAAATTAAGAAATTAAGTTTTACAGCAAAATCTTTTCAGATTTGCATGGAAATATTCATGGTTCAATTAAAATGTAAATTATCTAAAAGTTTTCATGTTTTTTTTGGAATTAATTTAGAGGGACATGTCGAGTTTTGTGTAAATGCAAGAAATAGAGAAATGAGCCCGGACGGACGCAAGTAATAACATTTAAGCTGGCGATATTACGCAGGTTTTCGGGTTGTATTACACGCGTTAAATTAAAACAGTATTTTGACTATTTTAAAAAGACCTTTTGAACGTGTTGGCTCTATAACAAAGGCATAGATAAAAACTTATACTAATTAATATAGTCTATGTATACGCGTACAGGGTGTTTGAGAAAAGTTGGTATAAAATGTGTCCTCTCTGAAGTTTAATATGCAAAAGAGACCACTCTGTATATCGGCGAATAATTGAAAATTAGACCTAAATCCACACATTGCATTTCACGGTATATTTGAAACAATACAATTTTAACACGCGGCGAATTTTTGAGACAATACATATGAATGTCGTTTATGATTATATTAGAATCCTGTAGTGTTAAATTTGATTGTTATGTTGAAACCGTTAAAAAAAACCTATATGTCATATTGAAAATGAATTCGAGATATAAGAAAAAAACGATTTTTTTTGCCTTAAAAATAGAAATATTACATATATTATGTATATAAATAAGAGTAAACCATTAGAAATACCAAGAGATTGGTCGAACTTGGATGGTCTTTATCTTTATTTTAACTTACAAATTTGACGATATTACTTAAAATAAAAATAAAGACAATGGAAGTTAGACAGTCTCGTAGTAATTCTACTGAATCATTGTCTCACACCTTCAAGCAAACAGTGAACCAGTAAAACAGTACAAATGTTATTATAATTATAATAAATAACGATAATTATAATAATAAATTTAAACAATCATCATAACATATACAAATAAATCTGCTAGAACTTAAAAAAGTATATTGAATTATGTAAGGCAAGACTTTAAAACACCTATATTTTATTTTCTACAATTTACGCAAGTAAGTCAAAAGGCATAACGCTGAGTCGCCCCAGTATTATTAACTAACCAGCCATATTACTGCCCTTGTAATAACAAAATCCAAAATAATATTATACCTACATGCAAAATATATTACATATTTGATGATGATTGTTGAAGCGAATAAGGACAGGTTGACTTCTTAATTATATCTTTAAATAATTTAGAATTAATAATAGAGAATAAATTACGATACTAGATAAGTCCAGTGTTAAACGTGACGACAAACAAATTGAAATTACATAAGAACTAATTTGTCCTAATTTCCGTTTCGTTTTTGGTATCTCTAATTAGAAAGGCAATGGAATAAAGAAGCCTTAAGGTATATCCTATTCATATGATCGGAACAAATGAAATGTTTGATACAAAGTTTATAAAAAAAGCAAAAAGGGCCTAACCTTAAATAGTAAAAAGGTGTGGTCACTGATACCGAAAATAAAACAATCACGTGAATTCTGGCGTCACGGTTGAACGAATTCAATCATCCGCGATGTAAGCTTCTTTGTAACGAGTTAACAGTTCAGTCACCGACGCTTCCATTGTAAACGCGCTACTGTGACGCCATTTCGTTAAAAGATGTTTTGTGCTTAAAGTTAAAATTCAAGTGACATAGCCATAAAAGAAGCCTAAAAATAAGCTACTTGATAAACCTCCCAAAATTTCCATAGATATGTCCCCCAGAGGGAAAATGTTATTTCCCTATATTTGTTCGTATTACCAAATTATTTCCCCAATATTTGTCCATATTTCCTAAATATTTCCGATATTTCTTTTTATGCAATATTTTTAGCACCGTTTTGTGAATGAAGAAACTGGGCTACGTTAAAATAAGAATTTTACAGAAGGGAGTAGAAAAAGATTTTTTACAAGTTCTTTTTATCTAAATGACTTACAAAAATTTAATTTAAACATAAACCATAAAATTTGAATAAATGACTTAACAATAATACAATACATATATCGTTTATCTTCTACCCAGAATCACATTGAGAAATTTGAAAAACTAACATCAACACTAGGGAAACCATCAAACTCTTCTCAACTACCAAACACTGCGATAAATGTATCATCGCACCAACTTTAGGAAACGAAAAAATCAGAAGGTTCCAACTTCGTCCTTGTCCCACGTATTATCACAAGAGAGGAAAACATTTGAAACGTCGAGTCTATCCCAAACAAACTGCCATCTCGAACAGCTAACGAAATTCGATTTGAAACCGCAAAAACCCTTAAAAAGTCAAAACCTCCTAAATCTAATATTGCAAAGCCTGAACGCATTGCCCTAAAATCTCTAAAATCTAATCCCAAGATCGTAATCCTAAAAGCAGCTAAAGGAAATTTTACGGTGGTCATGAACACCAGGAAAAGATTCAAGATATTCTTACAGATGGATTAACATAAAAAAGATCCTACCTCATCTATGGAATGCAACCTTAAATCTGTCGTTACGGCTTCTTCTCTATTAGACTTCGTGAAAAAATCTGCCACCCCACATGACTCTAAAATTCCTCGTCTCTACGGACTCTTAAAGATTCAGCACCATTGATTCTCCCACATATTCTCTAGCAAAATATCTAGTTTCCTTATTAAAACGCTTTACAGGGAAAACTGATAGTTTCGTACTCAATTAGTTTCACTTCATTGAACAGTTAAAAAGCATTACATTAGATACAGAAGATATTCTGGATAGTTTAGAAACCCTCCTTACTAAACTTGCTATTCCTGAAAATCCGAGAAGCTGGAACCAAACCTTCTCACCTTAATTGAAAAATGCTTATCTGGAACATTCAAATTTGTGAACAAACGTTGGAAACAGCTATGGGTTCTCCACTATCACCAGTCATTGCAAATGTATTTATGGAAGCCTTTGACACCGTCTTTCGACACCTTTCATCTAAAACTAAAATTATGGAAACGCTACGTCGATGATACTTTCGTTATTCGGCCTTATGGTCATTTTACCATTGAACTATAAACTAATAACAACCTCCTATTCTTAGGTATTCTTATCAATAGAAGATCAGACCCAATATTGGTGTGTGCTTACAGAAAACGCGCACAGACCGATGCATTGTCCACATCACCTTCCGGTTCAAAAATCATCGGTTATCAACTCTCTTGTTTACAGAGCTTCATCCCAACCTTCCAATAGCAATGAAGCCGAAAGCAATCCCACACTTTCCACCGATGTACTTCCTTACATTCAAAACATCACTGACCACAGATCAAAAGTTCTCAAGAAATATAACTTCAAAATCAGATTTACCACTTGTCCAAAAATCTCTCAACATCTTCGACCCGTCAAAGACAAAACTCCATTTGAGATGCCAGGAGTCAAACTCTGAAGAAGCCAACAGGATGATTGGCGAAACGTTAGCAAGTCGAGTCAACAAAAACCCACGCAGGAGGAATCCAGAAGTTTTATAAGTTAAAAAAAAAGGTTTTAAAGTCGTTTATATCTTCATCCGTATTATTGATATAAATGGAGAATCAGACCCATAAATCTACGAGATAGGTTTTTCACTTAAATCTTCACTTATATTCACTGCCTCAAACATTATCTTTTTTCTTGTATAATTCTCTATTATTTCGATATTTGATTGATATGCAAATTATTAAAATAATTAATTTTAGTTTTTATCATGGCGTTAGTCAAGCATTTAAAGTTATTTCAATTCTGACTCATTTCATTTCAACTAACACCCATTCCTTACGTTTGATTTTAAGAAACTCCCTGTTTAAATTGAATAAGAACAAACACCAATTAGTATTTTTTTAACTTCATATTCTAAATACCCGAATCGCGATGGTATTTTGACATTTGTCAATTCTGATGGTCGCGTATGAAAATCGAATATTATTCTCAAAGATTTCCGCTTTATTTTTATTAGCATATATTTCCGAATATTTTCTCGTATTTCTATATTTCCTTTGCATTTCACCTATAGTATACAGTATACTAGTAGTATAGTATACTATGACAACAAGTTTGATTAACGCCACTTTAGTCTTGAGGTTGATGTCAAAAGCAGAGCGAATGTTTAATAAATAATAATAATAATAGCACTTTATTTCCAACAGGTAACATGACCCAATTACAGGAAATATTAAATGTAAATCATCCAATATATATACTAGGGGACGTAGAAACTAATCTTGAATCTACTAATCTTATAACTAAAAAAATGAAGAAGGATAGAATGAGAAAGAGAAAGAAAAGGATAAGACTTATCGGTACGCATAACCCGACGCCATTCGAAGTTGCTGAAGTATGGCCTGGAGACCATCATAATATAAATCGCAGTACGATGGTAGTTTGTTGAAGGTAGCACACATATTGTAAATAGCGTTTTGAAAATGGATATTGGACCTGGGTAACTGCGGTAAGAAAGTTGATTGATGTCTCCCTTCCAGCCGCGGCACATGAAAACGTAATTGTTCCAGAAGAAATGGACAATCGACTCCGTAATGAACTAACTTATAGAGAAATGAAACAGATTGCAAGTCTCTGCGCAAGCTCAGGGGCAGTATAGCGAACCTTCTTAGTAGAAGATCGTGATCAACTCCCCTCTCAGGATAACCTTCTCTGCACACTCTCAATGGACTGAGTGTGGCAGTTATAAATTGGTGACCATATCAGCGAGCCATAGTCAAGCTTGGACCTAACGTAACAGTTAAATAACAATTTAACAGTAGCGGAGCTACAAAAATGCCTGCAATTTGTTATTACGAATCCTAAAATTTGCATTGCACTGGAAACCATTTTTGTAATGTGAGGTACAAATGGAACGACTGGTCAAATAAAATCCCCAGATCCTTCACAGTAGCAAGTCTAGTTAGGACAGTATCATCCATATTGTAATTAAAGACTATAGGAGTTTTTGTGCGGTGGTAAGAAACCACATTACACTTGCTG